GCTCATATAGCGATACCTCAGAATTGTGAGAGGCATCGAGGTCTGTTCGCAGTAATAGCAATGATAGACTTGTCCATAACCTGTCTACATGTTTTCCCTTTGCGCTCCATGATCAAGCCTCGTGAATTCAGCCACCTGCAGCGGCTCTATCGGAAAAGGCCAGAGGATCGCCAGCAAAAGTTTACTGACAGCTGTATGGGGTTCAGGGTTTAGGGCGCACTGCTTCAACTTGCAAATTCAATGCGTTCTACACTTGAAAACCCCCGCGCCGTCTATGGAGAAATCGCCAAAGCAACCTTTACGTCGGCAACGCTAGTGTAATACCCGAACCTTGATTACTAGTCCAAGTACGTTCGTAAACGCATCCCCCAAACCCCTCAACCCTACACCCTACACCTTGCAACCCTAAAGGGTTTGCAAAGAACCCCAGCAGAAAGGCGGAAAGGCCAAGCATGGCGCCCCTCCGGCCACAGCATGCAGTGAGCACCGGCCGCTTTGCGGAGGGAGCTTCTGAGCCCTACGTTCTACATCTCACGGGGTTTAGGGTTTGATCTTAAGGTTTTCGGGGGTGGAGAACTTGAGGTTCTGGCTTCAGGCTTTGGGTCCGGGTCGGGGAGTGCTTGCGGCATGCATGCGCCCTCAAACGTGCTCAAACCTCAGGGATGCGAGTGGCTTCTGGGGTCTTCAAGGTTTGGGGCTTGGGGCTGCTTCGGGCCTGTATGGCACTGGGTGTTAATGTTTGTGTATAGTTGTATCCCATGGGGGAGCGACCTTTTCTCGTCTTCGTTTTGTGTTTGCGAAGGCTGGGTGGCTGAGACCTATGAGCCAGTCACGATCGGCTCCACAGCGGTAGAAAAGTCAGAACAGGACTTTCTCCAGACGCGCTGGACCATTAAATGGTCTGAACTGATACAGCTGTGTGTGCAAAAGCCCGAAACGGATCCCGTACAGCCTAGATTCCTCCTGGGAAGCTACGGGGTAGGTTTTCTTTGAGACTCGGGTCGCCAACACCGCCTTGCCCCACATGCTTTGTGCCGAAGAATGGGTGAACTGTCGAAGCTGACGATTACCGGGCAGGTCAGTCTAGGTCAGTCAAAGCTTCTGGATGAGCCAGTACGGATCTGCTTTTGAAGGGCTTCGGCGAAATATAGTCGTGCATTCTGAACTTGTCGGGTATATAACTGAGTTCCAGCAACACCAGCCCGAAGACAACACTAAAAGGGGCCGCGCGCGACCACAATTACATCTGGAGCAACGTCAAGACTCCAACGAAAACAACGTGCCTGCACCGAGGAGGGACTGTGCAACATGCACGAGGACTTGTCGATGCGAGTTCCCGGTGAATTACTGAAGAGACGTATTAGCAATTAGCGCCTTGCCATATGCTTCGCCACTGTAGCTGAGAGCGTTATTGTTCAAAGTGGTCCACGGCCCACCCTGTCCAAACTCAAGAGCTGCACCTCAATCGCAAGGGACCCTAAAGCCCCTCAACATCCATGAACACCATCTCTCAAAACATCATGCGAGCCACTATTACTATAGTATTATGATTACTATCATCATTACTACGATTTCCATCATCATTACCAGGATTAGTATGAGTATTGTTTTTGCTAATGTTGGTACGAACATGGCACCCCTGGAAGGCATGGGAGCCGAAGCCCCCAAATCTGAAACCCAGATCCTGAAATCCAAAAAAAGAAGGTTTAGGGTTTGAGGGTTTGAGGGTTTTTAGGTTTTAGGAAGTTTTAACAGGGTTTAGGCCCAAATCAGAAGAAACCTGGAACCTCTAAGAATCCCATACAACCCTTCTAGCAACCATGATGGTAGCTAGGAATCCTTTTGAAAACCTTTCCAACCCCCCTTTGAAAAAGCTTTGTGCAGGACCTCGATGAGCTCGATGTACCGACCCTCCGGGCCCGCACAAGCGGGTCGCCGTCCCTGTTTCTCAAAGCTCGGCTACATGGATGCGAGCCAGGAAAGGGTTCCGAGTTTACAGTTGGGGTTTGGGTTTGGGAGTTTAGGGGTTTGGGGTTGTTTGGGCAACTCTAACCAATTAAACACGAACCTTCAAAAAGAGAAAACTCCTGGAGACTGGGCTTCGGGGGACTCGTGGCTTCGGGGGACTCGGGGACTATGGGCCTGGGGGCTCCGGGAACCGAGACTTCGGGGTCTGCAGGTGGTTCGGCTTGCTGAGACATTTCATGCAATGTCGCGTAACACAGTTATGTAACTTGCCGTTCGAGATTTGTGGACTTGAATTTGGCGACTTGGCTTCTCTGCGTTTCTGCGGCCTAGACTGCTTTGAAGGTCGAACCAAGAGTCGAGGCGCCGAGAGCAGATCCTAGAGGCGCGACTATTGCGATCCGAACGCACCTTGACGAAAGCCACCAGCACCAGCATCACCACAACAGCCGCCTGTGCTTTTGTTCATGGCTTCTGTTTCACTTGTGTAGTTTGAGGGTGCGAGGGTGCGTGCAGCCATGATGACGAAACAGATCTTACTCGTGATGCTGCCTTGCTCTAACAACAGCGACAGAGACAACAAACCATACGTATACAGTATACAAGAACATGATCACACGATGCTCATCGTGATTTCTCCGATCGGGCTCGCGTTTATAGGGTCGCTGAACGTCTGTCCAAGCTCCTGAGATCAGGAACTTTGTTTGACATGACAGCAAATCTAGCGACTTGGACAATAAACCCCGGCCGCATGATGCTTCAATCCCCGCAAGCTTCCCCGGCCCACCTCTGCTACATGCCAAGGTGACGCGGGGATGTTGGAGCCCTGGAGCCTTGGAAAAGACTCTTGGAAGCACGATGGCAAAACGACTCGAAGGTTCAAAAGGGTGCAGAGTTGTTCATCATGATTCCCCATGGTTCCACTACTATGATTTCAAACCATCATACAATTCAGAGGAAATTGGATTCTTGGGTTCCTGGGGCCACCGAGGCCGCCCGCAGACCGCGCAGGGCGGTCCAAAGGCTGCCAGGAACCGCACAATGAGGAAATCAACTCAATGCGGGTTAGGGTTTAGGGTTTAGTGTGGCAGCTGGCTCATAGCACCATCGGGCTAGCAGTTTGAGTGCAGGTGCTGCAGGAACCAAAGGAGAAGTATTCAATGAAGGCTGACGCAGGTAAGCCAACGTGGCTCCAAATGCTGGTAGCGTTTCTAGTGCTGTATCGCTGCGAACTGTCATTTCAGCTATCGCTATTGTCAGCATCACCCTGGTCATGCCCACCGTCGTCATAACCATCATCATTGCCAAGGTCATCATCGTCCGGATCATGACCATCAGTGCTCCTGCAATGACGAGTGTCGGTGGGTTTCCATTATCGTATTCTGGACTGCTCAAGCCGCTCGTGAGAAAACACTTCAAGCTCAACGAGCTTTGATGCGGGTGCCGAACCCCTCCCCTGTCGGTCGTTCTTTTAAACTCTTGCGAGTACCAGATGCCCCTCTCCAGCTCTTACTTCTCGTCCTGCACAGAGCAGGAGGCAGGACGCTGAACGGGGTTTGCCAGCATGACTGAACACGACTGTGAGGGAAGGTTGCGCCGGTTGTAGATGTACAGCTACGGATAATTTCAGACGAGGACAACACAGATATGCGTCGTAACAATGGCCGTGGTTTACCAGCAGTCGCTAGCAGTTGTCTGACCTGTTTTCTTGATGTCCACATTGGAACAGCGACGCGTGTTCGACGTCTTGCTCACCGTCTTACAGTTAGTTCGGAAGCTTCGTTGCGGGAGAGTACCCAGAGGTAGGTCATCAGTATCCTTACTGTATGTTGATCTTCTGCCCGGTTCTCGCAGAGGGGTCTAGAAATTTACAGAGCTGGTTTTGAAGGCTTTGAGCTGTGGCGGCAGGTCCTTCTTGATCAAGTAGGTGAGGTGGCACTTGCCACAGTAGTAGCGGTTGAAGTGCATGGCCTCAGCCACAACCAGGGCCGCATCCCATCCCATGTCTAGCAAGGCCTAAACCCAAATACCCACAAACCGGCAAGTCTAAAACCGCCATCTGTGAGGGATCACGCCACTACAGCCCTGAGGACCAGCCAGAGAGCCAGAGCAAACAGCAACCACCCAACAGACTCAAATCGCAGACGTTGATCAAAGTCTGCTACTCGCGGATCGCTAGTCCCTCAACTTCATGTTGAACCTTGCTTCTGAATCTGACATCCGGGTTACATCTTGCATATAAACTTCCAAAAGCAAGTCTGGCGTCACACACTCACACATACATCTGCTTGTCCAAATAGAACGACTGCACCACGGTCCAAAACCCAGCGGCCATGAAAACTCCGGGGCCGCAGGTCTCGTGCGGGCACTCTCGGCGCAAGCGTGTGACCTTGTCGTTGGAATCCACCTCGTTTGCAGGGACCGGCAGGAAATGCGCAGGCAATCCACGGCGTGTTCAACCACTGTTGCCACCACCAACACCGCCTATACTCCTACCAGTACTACCATTGATACAACTGGTGCTACTGCATGTAGGTAGTTTTCTAAATAAGGGTCCCTTTTTAGGTCCCCAATATAGTACGGCACCCTTATAAAACGGACCCCAGAAATGACCCTGATTTAGAGAACTACCCATGTAGAACATCTCAGTGCATCCTAGTGAAGAACAATATGAAAGGACGTAGTCTGGTGGCATGTGGTGTGCATGGTCTCGCCATCTAGTATAGCAAATAACACCAAGGCGTGGCAATGAGCCACGGCTTCGAATGATGCTTCGGCCCCTGCTATTGGTAGCTCCCACAAGCTGAACCCCGACTTACCCGCCTTGTAGAACTTAAGAACTGCAAGCTTCACCTTCTTGCGCTTGTGCTTGATCCTCGGTGGCGGGATGAGCAAAAACTGCTTGGAGTGTAGGGAGCAGAGTTTTGAGCTTAGGTAGTCCATGACCTCGGAGATCTGACTACACGGCGGTGGTCTGAGACAACGAGAATGCCAAAGGGAGCTTGGAAGCAAAATGCGAACTGGGTTGTGATATGCCATAGTCAATAGTCATAGGCTACTACGCATGACTTCAACGAACAAGAGACTCTACCGAAGGATCTCCCCCAACCAGAGCTGGGACACTTCTTCGGCTTGGTGTAGGTCTTCTTCTTGCGCTTCTTGCCGCCGCCCTGCCTGGGCTGCCGGAGTGTGAGACTGACGTGGCTGGCCGCTGCGGTTGCTTACGAGGGCTCCTGTAGGGTCCCAGGGACATGGGGCAATTCAGACGACACGGGGCCCGGTCCCTTCAGCTCCGAGCTTTGCAGCTCCGCACTTTGACTTCGGCTCCGGGCTAGCGCTTCGGGCATCTTCAGGACTTCGAGCTCACGAAGGCTCACGAAGGCTCCTCTTCAAGACCAAAAGCCTAATCCGAACCTGGTAATTAGAATAGGGCTTTTGGAGGTTTATTATACTATGATTCGACTCAGGAATCCGAGTTCGAACCCAGTGGCAACTCGAGGGAGACGAAGAGAGTCGCCTCGTCCTGGTCAAGATCTTATCGGGCCTCTACAGTTTTGGGGTTTAGTGTGTTACCCGAATGTAGAAGCTTCAGGGACTGGTGGTGGTATGCCTTAAAGCTAGGGTTTCGGATTATGAGTATACCATGAGAAACCCCAAAACCCTCTTCTAATAAGTAAGGTTTCTTTTTCTAGCGGGAATATGGGCGAATGGGAACGGAAGTGGCTTCGTTTCGGACAGAGCAAGGCTTTGCCGGGCGCCTCTAGTCAGGTTTCTGGAAACATGTTCAAGGTTGAGGATTTAGGGTAGATCTCGCCCGTCTACATTGCAGCAACGCTGGGGGTCGGATCATGGGTTCATGCAAGGAAACTGGCACGCTTACTCCATTCTTGCATTTCCCGTCGGAGGCCTTAAAGATACTACCTCTAGACTGCAGAGAAGTCCTGGCTTCCAAACTGGAGCTTGCGCCCAACATGCGGGCACCAAGATCTAAAATAAGCTAGCAGTAGCACCTTCCAGAGATCTCTTCCTGCATACAACCCAACTCCCCCAAGAACAATTAATTAAGCCACTAATAATCCAAAATCGCCGCCAACCCGTCATTCCCTAAACCTGCCAGCAGTCGCCTCGACACCGCAATCCGCCAGGCGTGCCGCGGAGTCGAGGATGGTCCCTGGGCCCCACTGCTCCGGGTCCCTCTACAGAGTTGCTTAGGGCTTAACGTTTAGGGCAACGTGACGTGCGGGTTTATGTTGCCTTCAGGCTGCTTTAGAGAGGTATGGGCTCGGTGCTTAGGGAGATGTATAGGACTACAGCACAACGCGTAAACGATGTACATGAGCGGCTGTCGATCTTCGAGCCTCTGCCACTGCGAAACTTCGATGCTAATCCTCGTATGAACCCGCTTTCAGCTACCATGCACCACATGGCCTGGAGAGTTTGATCCTTGAGGTTAGTAGTTGTGATTGGGGCTGTTGCCTTCCTCGAGGAGTGGCTGCCAGCAGCACTGCAATCGAGACCAACATCCCGCACCCGGTCATCCGAAAGAAAGCCCGACACCCAAAACACTAAAGCCCACCTGCAAAACACAAAAAAGGCTGAAACCGAGAGGAGCCCAGAGGAGCCCCAACTCTGAAATCCCACACCCGAGCCGAGGCTAAGGCCTCCGTAGCTCAAGACCTGCTCCTCGCAGAGTTTCCGCTTGGCTCCGGGGGCTTCGATTAAGGGGTTCAGGGTTTAGGGTTTTGGATGTAGGATTGAGGGTTCCGGGTTCAGGGTTTAGAGTCCTCAGGCTCGGCCAACTGGGGCCGATGATTCCTTGTCGGCCCCTTGGTAACGCAAGAAACTACCGCCCCAAGGCGTCAGCGATCCTCTTCCTCTTTTCCTCTTAAGGCTTGCAACCATCATGTCCCATCCGAGTCTACGAGTTGCGTCATCCCAGTGACAGAGTACTTCGTTCTTCTACCGCTCTCCAAAGACCCAAAGCGCCCAACTTCTTCCACTCCTCTGCCGGCACACCGGAGAGGGAAGCGATCCTCGGCTCGGGGGTTTCGGGCTTTTGGATTTCGTTTTGGGGTCTTCACAGTCTAAAGGAGCCTTGGGAACATTATCATAACAAGCACAGACTCCCGACTCCCGAAAGAAAGGCCTTCTCTCGCCTCTCAGCCCAGGCCAACGAAGCGCGACGGCTCGAGAGGAAATCAAAGTAGCCGGAGGTGAACAGCCATGACCCCGAATCGTACAGTTTCAGCACCTGCTGCTTCCCAGGTGCGTCGCTTTCACGGCCTGAACCTCCGCCTGCCCATCGACCTGCAAGCCACATGCAGGTCTCTCTTCATGGATGCAGGTCGGTGTTTCTCCCGTGGCCCCAATGTTTACCTCGACCGCGGCTCTCTCCAAAAAGAAGGCCCACCCCCGTGCTAGGCCCGGCACCTCGAGAGCGGAGGTTTGTCCCTCGACAGAGCGCACGAAGATGCGCATGGCCCCGGATCCCCCGGGGCGCCGGGAGGGGCGAGAAGCGGGGATCCCCGCAAGAACCGCTGAAGAAGGCGGCGGGAGGCGAGACACGCACTCTAAGTCCAAACCGTGGTGCAGTAGGGCAGTCTTGCAGGATCTACGATGAAACCTCTCCAAGGACAGGACGGCCTTACAAGTGTTCACAGAAAATGGCATGATCCCAAAAACACATGCCGTCCTCACAGCCACCATGATACGAAGCTCCATCTTTAAACGAGGTCCCAAACTGCTACATGTAAGACACCTAAGGCAGCTTGGGCTACGACCAGGAAAATATCAAAGTTCAGGCCTGCATCCCGGAACCCAAATGCTATCATGGGAGGTACAGGTCTGTCACAATGCAGTCTCTCCATGTAAACTCTCTGCTACCTAACAACCCTTACGCTGCCATGCTGGGGTCCAATCTCAGCCCATTCAGGCTCGCTGGCAGCCGGGACCTCCGCGTTAGTCTGAGCGATCCGATGTGAGCGTGTCAACAGCTAGATGTTCCAGTTTTGACTTTTTGGACCAGGCCCTGCGTGGACATCCCTTGGTCGCGTTGCCCAATTCGTTGGTCGCCCAGCATTCTAGGGAGCGGTAGGAGGAGTAGCAGGAGTCGCGACAGCAGTACAGCAGTAGCTGCAACGCTAGGCCAGCGTTAGCAGCAGCAGCAGCAGCAGCAGCAGCAGCAGCAGCAGCAGCAGCAGTGGCAGAAATAGCGCAGCAGGACTGAACACAACTTTACAACGGGAAAAACCGCAGTCAGAATGCCCAAAACCAGCTGTCTACACGCAACCCCAACGACACTGACTAAACTCCTTGACCTCAAACCTCTTGCGCGCCACAAGAAACCGCAAACCACAAGCCGAGACAAATCCAAAATCCAGACTCAGTTGGCCTCCCAGAACTCCGGGCCAGCCTCATGTAGGGTCGAAGGAAAAGGGTTCAGGTCTGTGAGAAGACCGGATTGAACGCTGTGCCAAGTTCTGGTCTAAGGGTCTTTGGGACTGGAGGGCTGAGCATCCTGTTCCATCCCTTGGGTTTTACACCTTGACTTCCGTACTCACGAACTCCCAGTCATGGAAGTTTCGTCTTCGCAGCTCCCCATGAAAGCCCTGTGCCCAGGTCCCAAGAGATCACTCACAAAGAGAAAGTGCCATGAACCGGCTCGTCATGCACAGTGCTTCGTCACAAGCTTCGGGGAAGCAATCGTAAGGGACGTACTCAAAGGCTTCGGGGTTTAGAGGCTTGGGACTTCGGGTGCTGCGGAAAGGATCGTAATTCTCGGTGCACATCGCTATGGCGAGATAAACCGTGGACGGACCCTAAACTCCTGCAACCCTAAGCCGCAACAAAGAAAAACACGTTTCATCGACCTTGCCGACAGCTGAAGATGCCGAAACTACAGCAGCACACCCTGGGTTGCCTTTTCCGCCAACAAAGGGATTGCTTCAATGGCAAAGGTAACAAGAAAGCATCATCCGATCATCATGATTATCACTGTCTACAGCATTGCCACCATTGGCATTATTACCAACGATATGGATACCTGACCAACCACATGATCGTGGATGCGACCATCAGTTCCCAGTACTTTCATTGTACTCGTTGCAACGCTGACGATAAATACCACTGCTACCTCTTTGGGTATCACTCATACTGACTAGTATACTTAGTATGCCACGGCTGGGACGTGAAGACATAGGAGATTACCATCTATATAGCGTCAGGTGGAAGAGAGTAAGCTCGACCGACGATGGGGCTGGGTGTCCTGCCACCATGGGGCAGGAGCCTTCATCGCCATACTCCGCCGTCCAGTAGTAGCCTTTGCGGTGACAGTGCAATTGCATGCGGACCCTTCGCCCATATCGAACCATGATGACGATGAGTGCTCACAAAATAGGGAAGACAAAAGCAGCTCCAAAGGCTCAACGGCCACCATCCCCTGCAACTCAACGTCTCGAAACAATTTGGCCCCAGGCTATCGCTAAAGTTCATGCTGCGGGGAACTTCGATCCAGCCGACCTGAAACAAAAGAAGAGCACCAGTTTCGATTTCCGGTCTTGTTGTTGCGGTTGGTGCTGGCAACAAAGGCGGCAGCAGCAGCAGCAGCATTTTCTTATCCGTATACTTATGGTCAATGTTACAACTAGTAGAAGTGGAAGTAGTAGTAGCAGTAGCGGTACGGCAGCAGCAACAATAGTAGCAGAAGCAGTAGCAGTAGTGAACGTAGACAGCAGGAGCAGGAGTAGCAGTCGTAACAGTTGTCGTCGTCGTAGTAGCAGCAACAGAAGCAGTAGCAGTAGCAGCAGCAGCAGCAGCAGCAGCAGCAGCAGCAGCAGCAGCAGCAGCAGCAGCAGCAGCAGGAGCAGGAGCAGTAGCACCAGCAGCAGCAGCAGCAGGAGCAGCAGCAGCAGCGGCAGGCGCAGGAGCAGTAGCAGTAGTAGCAGCAGCAGAAGTAGCACTAGCACCACTACTACTAAAAAACTATGATAACTACTCATTACTACTACTACTAACCAAACTACTTCCAGAAATTACTACCACTACCACTACCACTATCACTACCAGTACGACCACTACCACCACCACGAAGAAATATCAGAAATTCTCTGCCTGGCCTAGGACGACTACTCGGCCTCGCAGTGGTGTTGGTTGGTCATCGTTGTGGCGGTATTGCACATTCCATCGCAAGACATCAAAGGTAGTCTGCCCAAGACAGAACCTGACGAAGATACCAACAACAACAACAACAACAACAACAACAATAGCTGATTGGCCATGCACATGAATTATGTAGCGCCTGCGCCAGCACCAGTAGTGCTAGTGCTTGACAGTAGTGGTAGCAGCGGCAGCAGCTGCAGCAGCAACAGCAACAGCAGCAGCAGTGGCAGGAGTGGGAGTGGGAGTGGGGATAGCTGTAGGCGGTAAGGGTTGATGGTGTCTTCTGTTGTTTTCGCTATAACCGTCGTCAGCAGTACCGGTAGTAATCGGCGCCGTCGTGATAGGAGTGGTAGAAGGAGAAGTCGTCGGAGCTAGTGATGCTAGTGCAATGTCTAATGCACGCTGCGCCATTCGTGTAGCAGCATTCCACATCTCAGCTTAGCGGCTCCAGGCCGCCAGAGCACGGAGGACTCCCGGAGAGGCGTTGCATCCGCCACATAGCCCGGACTGCTGGTGTCCCTGGGGAATCCGGAAGAGTCATTAAGGGTTTGTGCAGTTTTGGGGCATTCAATTGGTTAGGGCAAGAACAACATATTCATGAGAGGTCCCACACAGCCCTGCACTGGCATTCTCATCCGGAGCACTCACTACCAAGAATCCACACCATATCATTGAGGTGGTCTCTCGCCAATTTGGATCATCCCATTCTTCTACTGCAAGCCCGCAGCTCGGCACGAAGTGCAAGGCTCCGACTTCCGCATTTTGGACTCACAGCAGTCCTCGCGAAGAAAGGACGGAGCTTGAGGCTTGTTCGGCACCGTTTCTCTCTCAGCTTCCCAACGACACAACAAAACCCGAGGGAACATTCAAAACTTCTTCAGCGACTTCGACCGCGAAGCAAAGCTGTCCGAAAGATGTCGTGCTAGCAGGGTGTCCTCGGTCAGGAACCAGTCTACGGCACTCTTTTCCACTTCCGGGAGGCATGCAATCTGCCTGGCGCGCGGAGGCACTGGCTTCCTATGCAAATGGTTTCCAAGCATGTCCGCTCTGTTGCATCCTGGGCTTCAGAAGTTGGGCCTCAGATATCTCACTGCCCCCGGAGAAACTGCATTGCAAGCTTGCCGGGTACACCATTGGGCTGCATGGCACACGCAGCACCTTGATTCAGCATGCGATGGTGGATGTGGTGGTGAAGCAGGAGGAGGGGGGGGCTGACAGCTGTACCACCACCACCACCGCCGCCACATCCAACCGCCTCAAGAGTCACTATATCAATCCACTATCACTCCTAAAGTGACTTTCAATGCCGACTTTGCCCACACGCACCAGTATTTGGAAGAACCAACCACGGACACTGCACGAGCACCGGAACCATGCCCTCGGTCCTCGTCGTACCCGTCGTAGCAACACGAGCAGCAAAAGCCCTGGCCCTAGCAGCTAGCACCAGCTAAAACCCCAATCAGACCCTAGCCCCAACTGCAAGCGCTGCAGTCCCATGTGCAGAGAAAGAAACACTTTGAATCCGACAGCCCAGGGCAGGCACCAGTCACTCCAGCCGCCGCAGCGTCCGGCCCCGTCCGCAAGATACCCTTGGAGCCTGACGCTTCTGCATGCGAAACGTCAGATTCATCCGCACGCCACTACGGCACCGCTCTGATTCTGCTTCATTCTATCACTACAGTAAAGGTTGATTCGCAGCGGCTCTTTCAGGTCGGGCATTTATGGATTCGGAGGAGTTAAAACTGAAATGCAAATCGTGCTCAGCCCCAACTCCTTGTGAGGATATGGGGACCTGTGTGCCTGAAAACACAGACCCCCACAGCCCGCCTATCATAGCCTAGAAGTCAGAACAAGTCTGAACCTGCGAACAACAGCTCATGGCAGCTGGGGGCAACACGGGTTAAATTTGAAGATGTACCTGGCCCAGCCCACGTGTTGGACTGTCTCAGATGCGTTGATGGGTGCACTGAGGACTCGCTGAGGTACCTCTACTACACGGCGCACTTCAAAGCCACCTCCGGCTCCTTCGTGCCCGAGCCGTCACCAGAGCTTTGCCCTTGGAATGACCCCCCACCAAGGCGGTTAATTTGTTTCAGACTTAAGTCTCGGGTTCGGAATCTGGTGAATCTAGTGGCCGCTGCGCAGCGGCACGTACGGCGCTTACCTGGACGTTGCGGCCAGTTGCGGCCTGACCATTGAAGGAACCTCAACCAAACTCAGTGTTCCCATAAAGTTCAGCTGTACTCAAACCTTCGAGATAAAAAGCAACTACTACTTCTCCTGCTACTACTACTACTACTACTACTACTACTACTGCTGCTGCTGCTGCTGCTGCTGCTGCTGCTGCTACTGCTACTGCTACTACTACTACTACTACCACCACCACCACCACAATCACCACCACCACCACCACCACGCGCAGGAGTAGAGGCAATTTGGGAGCTGGTTTCAGGGTTTAGGGTTTAGGGTTCAGGGTTTGCGGCTTGTTTGTAACGGATCCACATTGTCTTGTCCACGCTCTCACCCGCATCTTTTCCTCATCAGCATCGTGAAACTCTTCAGAAAAATCAACCTCATCATCATCATCATCATCATCACCGTCATCATCACCGTTATCATCATCACCATCATCATCATCACCATGCCCATGTGATGAAGCCAAAGCAGTACCAACACGTCTTCCTCTCATGATGATGAATGATGATGCTGATGGGGTCGTCCGTCCTCGTGGGTTGACGATGAAGATGGTGACAATGAACAGAATCCCCGAGCACTTCTAAACAGACGCGGGACCAAGGTCGAAGGAATTCTCATTGCTCAAGTGTGCAAGATTGCAAGATCACGCGGGTCCAGAAAAGCACACAAGCAGAAGGAGCTTACCTGTGGGCCTGTCAGGTGCAAAGACGACCAACAATCAGGGCTCTACAAAATCAGGGTTCGGTAAAGTTCGGCTTGATCCGGTTTCTTGGTCTGCTTTGTCGGATCCCTTCAGCATCCATCCTAAACCCCATCATGTGCTGTACCGAAGAACTTCGCTGGGCAGCCAAGCCCTTGCCACTGCCAAGCGCCGTGAGTTCTGTGGCATTTAGCCAGGCCTGGCCGGATTTCCCGGACGGAATGGAACTGCTGGGAGAATTAGGCGCTCGGGGCTCGAAAGCACTGTCTGGCACAGGCGAAGCAGCTCATACAGTGCCACTGCGATCACCTCACACAGCCCTTCAATCACGGAACCATGCCACGTGCCACTGGGAGCTCGCATGTGGGCCCTTCAGCACGCTCGATGAGCGCAGGGCGATGGACGCCTGCAGCTCAAAGTGGGCATACTTAGGCATCACATCTGTGCCGCTCTACATCTCGTCTCGGATCGTCCTTGTGAGAGGCGAAGATTCGAGGGGCTGCGGCCCAGGCATTGGATGACTAAACCAACTCACCTTTTGGGTATCCCGCGCAGGCTGGACCAGCTTTGCTGGCCTTCTTGCATCCGTCCTGGTCAGGCCGCCCAAGAAAGTTTAGGGCCTCTGACGATGGCAGACTGGAAGCAAAGTCCGCTCAAGCATTTCCCCAACTCCGCCAAGGCAAAGCGATGATACAGTTGACTCGCAGTGGTCAGTGACGGACGGACGCATAGCTGGCTCCCACCTGTCTTGCAAAGTAGCATCCCGCCCAAGCTGCACGCGGCAAGTCCGAAAAGCTCCAGCTTTGAGATGCCTTCGTCTAATACTTTGTGGACGTTCACTATCGTTGTAGAGTCTGATCGGTCTTGGGAGCCGTTGTGATTCAGGACATGTCCTGCATGCATCGCCGGTACGTGTACGACCACCACTCAGCGCCTCGAAGCCAAAACAAGCAGATGGCAGCATGGGCGCCTGTTGCTATCATCCTTTATTCATAATAGCAAGAAGGGTTGACGGACGGCGGGACGGCCAAGCCAATCGGTGGGGCCTTATGCTGGCTTTCGAGCGATGAAGAAGGACATGGGGCGACCGTCTTCGCCAGGAAGCTCCTTCGGACATCCATGTGGACCCGAACCCGAACATGAAACAAATTTACCCGCGTGGCGTGCATGTATGTGTACATATATGATGCCCCCCAAATATGCAGGAATAGTACGGCCTTCAACACCCAGGAAAACCCCAAAGAATGTAGCAGGCGGGGATAACCAAAGTAGCACGTCCACATCCACCGGGAAAGGCAGGACAACGGAGGTGGTGAACATGGGACCCATTTTCAGGGTGTGCGGACCCTCCGAAGCAGAGGCTCCTCGTCCCTCTCAACCTGGAGTCCCTCGAAGATTCTGCGGAGCTCGCCCGGCTTGAGGACGTGTGCAGGGTCGGAGGGGTGGACGCAGCCTCCACCAAGTCGCGGGGGGAGAGTCTGCAGGGCTCAGCATGGACCCCGGTTCCCAGCCTTCCATGAAGGTGTGGAAGAGGAGGAGTCCTGCACAAGTACAAAGCTTCCGGGAACTCCGGGAACTCGAGAAGACAACAGCTCCCGGGCAATGATGGGAAGTCTGGTGTAGGATTGAAATCCCAAGTTACCCTCAAGTCCTTCTCAAAGCACATGCCCGGGGCTACCACCTCCGACATGCGGAAATCCCACAGTTTGAACTCGGTCCCCTCCAGAGTCTCTAGGCAATGAACTGAATCGCAACATGACCCTCACAGTTTCGAGCAGGAGATCTGGCTGCTGAGAAAGTATCCACAGGAGCTTTTTTGCGAACAGCTTGCAGTACAGAAATGAGCAGATGAATCCAGGACACTATACTCGGCTCTGTCGGAATGTAGTGTCTTTGAAATCTCAAGCGCCAGACCCCGAACATCAAGGCCAAAATCCTGAACCGCCCACAACCGTTCCTCCCGGGCCCAGGAGTTCTGTCATTTCCCGCAGGGTTGGCCGGTGCAGATGGCGGTTGACCTCGGTCGCTACCGCTACGGAGCATTGCTTCCAAGTTCAACCCGGCCAACCCGAACCCTGAATCCTGATGCCTAAACGCCCCCGCCACTGTCCTCATCTATAGATTCTGAGAAGAGCCGAGTAGCCATGACCAACTGGAAAGTTTCACAGGGCCTTGGAGGCAGAGGCGGTGCAAGGGACTAGGTCAAGCAAAAAGAAACAGGGTGTGGTGTAAAAGCTGGCAATGCAGGCGGCCCCCAACTATTTTGAAGGATACTCTCAGCCTCCGCATCTGAATCTACAGAGCGCTTGAGGACTCCTCGAGCCGGGGTGCTCCTTGAGCCCCAGCGAGGCCACGAGGTCGCCCTCGGCCTGGTTCCATTTTAGGTCCCTCTGGCTTCGGGGGGGCCTCGGACCCTCTTTCAAGGGCCTTTATGGTGAGAATAGGGTTTTGGGGGCTCCTTATTATAATTATAGTATAGTGGGCCCCAAAGCCCAAGGCTACTGAAGGAAGGCGTTAAAGTTAAAGCCTCGAGAGCCTCGCGTTGAGGCGGCTGGCCAGCCGGATCTGCTGAGGACAGACTTTGGATCTTCCGTGGCAGGACATTCGCAGACTCCGGAAGCGCTGCATGATGCAACCCGAAGCTTAGGCCTCGGACTGCAAAAGCCAGCGAGAGCCAACTGAGCCAAAGAAAACACTAAAGCCAGCAAACTACCCAAGCCCCCCAAGAGACCTCACAGACGTCAACGCCATATCTCAAAGATCCGCTATCCCATCACCGATCCAGAATTTCGACTGCCTCGAGTGTGCAGCGGAGCACACGGCACCGGTCTCGGCAGCCCTGCTAGGAGCTGTCTTCAGAAATCACAGGCCGGGCTTCTCTTCGAGCTGCTTTGACTGGCGCCTACGTAAGCAGACTCAGGGCCTAGCATTACTCATCTAACGCGACACGAATGTAGACTCTAGACCGACGGCGAAGGCTGAATGCTACAGTTGCTGTAGCCTGGGCGATGCTACTGGGCTCAGAAATCGACAGGGAACAAGGGACCCCAAACGGCGACACTCTCAAACACCGGAAACATCCCCAAGACTTCAAAAGTACCTCCCTCAATCTTTCTTTCCTTCGTAACGCCAAGGAGGTCTTTCTTTCGCCAGGGTTGTGGCGCAAGGGGTTGCCCCCCTACGCCGCGCGCGACTGCGCCCCCGACTGGTGCGGGAGACCATGGACTCAAATGCGCACGCACCACTAAGGCAAACTCGCAGGTTCGGGCAAACTGAAAAAATTCTTTTCAGGCCGCCCACTAAGGCATCTCGCAACGCCAAGGAGGTCTCTCCCTCGCTCTTGCTTTCTCTGTCTAGGGCTTGAGGGACCCCTTCTTCTTCTCTCTCTCTCTCTCTCTCTCTCTATTTCTCCCTCTAGGGCTGGAGGGAGCTGTCACAGTCCGTGCCCCTGCTTTGTGGACTTGGAGGATGTCGGTAAATGTACCAGCACGAGTCTGTCGAGACTCAAAATTAAGCACAAGAACATTTTGCGGTCAGCGTCTTCCCCCGCAAGAGTCTAAGGTACAGGCGAACAGAATGCACCCAGTACTTGGACTGGCCCCGCCAAGCGAGCTTTTCCCCATCTCTTTCTTTCATTGGGCATCTCTCCCTCTCTCTCTCGCTCTCGCTGGGTCTCGTGTCCCGCCACATGGCTGAAGGAACCGAAAGACTTCGCCTGGCGCTCTGCCAATCGGCAAAGTCGGTCCAGACCCCGGCGGTCGCGGTCCAGCGCCGTCACCTGCGCGCACTTTGCAGCAACTCGGTTTTTTGCGGTGACTGCATGCGTCCAGCATCGATTGGTTAAAGGTCTGCACAGTTTTGCGCGCAAGGGCTTGACAAACACTCCGCCATGGACTTCGCTGAAGGTACCCCATGAATTCAACAGATGAGGACCGAAGAACTCAAGACGCTCACGCATGCTCCCGCTTCGCCGAGGATTCAACTTCCGCCTTTTGAGCCGGGCATCGGGTCCCTGGTTCCCAAAACCTTTTGGGGCCTCCCAGCCCGCAGTGGCGAGCGCCAGGGCTTCCCTGCCGGAGCCGCAGCCGACGTCCAGGGCCCTGGGCTCCTGGCCGCTACGCGAAACCCGGGCTTCGGCTCAGTCCGAAATAGGTCTCGCCTTTGCATTGATGCTACGGCTACGGCTATTCCCCAGAACCTCTCGCAGCTGCCATAGGAGCACTCATGCGAAACCACGCAACCCTCAGGGTTCAAAGGAGTGACAGAACTGCAAACGGGTCCGATGCAGGGTCTTCTGTGAGCAGATTCCACTGCTCCAACTTTGGCCGCCGGATAGATAGTGTACAAGAAGAAACAAAGAAGAAGCATATGCAGCATATGGTCCTCCATCTCCTCCTCCTCCTCCTCCTCCACATAACCATAAGTATGAGCATCATCATCAACGTCATCCCCTCTGCCCGCCTTCGGGGCGCAGGAGATCTGGATTTCTTCCAGTCGGCTCATGGCTTCCTGCTTGGAGCTTCCGGTCTTTCCAGGACTTCGGGGTCTTGCAAGGCTGGAAGTGTGGGCCCTTTGCGGGGTTTAGGGGTTTGCTGTGGGGTGCAGGTTGGCATTGTGGAGCAGCCTTCCACATATAAACTTAGACACAACATGAGGCGTTTGAAGGGTTCGCATGACGAGGGTTCCACTGTTTCGGATGCAGTGGGAGTCATTGGGATCCCCTACAAGTAGTTTTCTGAGACTTTCAGATGCCATGGAGCTGTGAACACCCTGCATCAGGAGCCATAACCCTACCAGTATGACAGGACAAGGGAGTCCCAGGCTTGGGGGTGTTCGGGGCAGTGAAGGGACTCTCAAAAGCCCCCAAAAGCATTCGGAAGCTTGTAGGCCTGGAGCGCCCCGGGCCGGTTTGACGGGGTTTGCGATGAAGGGCTCATGGCTTCGGCCAGTCTGGGCTCAGATCTTCAAGGGCTTGGGGCTTGGGGTACATTATACTATAATACTATAACTATAATAAGGAACCCCCCCCCAAAAAAAAAAGTATTGGTAATCATTTAAATTTGGGGTCGGAATCGCCTGCCTGGAGGAGTGGCGATGGCGAGAAAAGGAATCGACCCGGAGGGCTGGGCCCGACCTGGCGTGGAACAACGAGGGCTTAGGGCTTAGGGTTTACAGTCTAGGGTTTAGGGGTGTGAGGGTTTAGGGTGTAGTGTTCGGTGTAGGGTTTAGAAGTTTAGGTGTAGGCTTGGGGTTTAGGCTCATGATCAGCATCTAGCGCTGATTGCCGCTGTTGCATGCAGCCGACAGGGTCTTTCATAATGGTGAAAGTTATTTTCTGTGATGTGGCAGAGTACATCATCAAGGCGTGAACACATGATCTGTGAATATTATCATGAATGTTGTCAGCGTGTTATCAAGTGTGTGTATGTGTGTATCTATATATACAGATATATACACACAGAAATGCGCTATCAATAGCATTTGCAATATTCTGGCTCCTCTTCTTGTTCTACCACAACGACGACGGCCGTGACTTTAACAACTTCGGGCTCCTGGCTCTGGGATCTAGGCTTGCACGAGGTGGCTCGTGGTTGCCTTTGTTCTTGCTGCTGCTTCAGGTCTAGGAGTCGGGATGGTAGGGGTGCGGGGCGCTTCACCAGAATTTGGCATCCCTCGTTGCAGCGTCGAGGACGACAAGAACATCCAAAGTACGAAGTGGAGAACTTGGCATGTTTCTAGGACTTGATGGCCGGGAGATACGAGCGTTAACATGATCTGTTTAGGAAGGGGCACGGCTACGGCCACGCGGGGCTCCAAGTTCCCTCCTTCAAGGCTCCCGGAGGTTCTAGCTTCGTTTGCTTGGAGTACCCCTATAGAATCCCTCACAGAGAGAATCCCTCACAGAAGCCTTGTTGAACCCTACTCGAAAAACCTTTATAGAACCTGTAACACTCAGAACCTCTATGTAGCAAAGAAACGACTCAGGAGGCCTCGGGTGCCGAGTCCAGCAGGGTCCTGGTCGCCGGCACCACCGTGGCCTGCCAGGCCTTTGCCTCAGAATTCGGGTTTTTGGAGCTTAGGACGTTTTGGCTTAAGGGTTTTAGGGTGCATTTGGGGCTTAAGGATTTGGGGTGCAAGTGTCTAGGGTTTCAGGGTCTAGAGTTTAAGGGTTTGGGGTTTAGGGTTCAGGGTTTTGGTCTTGAACACATTCCCCGCCTTGAAGAATGATAAATCCAAGGGTGCTCCTTGCGAGTGCTCTTGCGCGCGCCTGGCGCGCTGAACCCTGTGTCAAACTGATTTTGGCTATTTCGGATCTGTGCTGAATACAACGTAGTAGTAGTAGTAGTAGTAGTAGTAGTAGTAGTAGTAGTAGTTGTAGTAGTTGTTGTTGTAGTACTAGTAGTAGTAGTAGTAGTAGTAGTAGTAGTAGTAGTAGTCAGTAGTAGTAGTCAGTAGTAGTAGTCAGTAGTAGCAGTCAGTAGTAGCAGTCAGTAGTAGCAGTCAGTAATAGCAGTCAGTAGTAATAGTCAGTAGTAGTAGTAGTAGTAGTAGTAGCAGTAGCAGTAGCAGTAGCAGTAGCAGTAGCAGTGGCAGTGGCAGTGGCAGTAGCAGTAGCAGTAGCAGTAGCATTAGCTCAGTAGCAGTAGTAGTAGGTCGCAGGAGCAGGAGCAGTACCTTCTTACACTAAACCTGCATCAAAAAATCAAAGTGCGCTTTTAGTCTTTTGTCAAGAGGCGGGGGTTTAGAACAACTCTCATCTGGGCTTCGTGAGGCTTCTGGATTGCTTGGCCGGAGGGGTGGGGGCATCCGGGGGGTGACGGTCTTGGGCTTGAACATCGCATTCTCAGATGCTCCGTCTCTGACTAAACCCTTCCGACAAGTGGCTCGCGTGGCGAACCAATCTCTGACCTGGCTCACAGTTTCTTCAAAGATTTCGTGATATTTTGGGGAAACACTCGGGCTTCAGATGCATCAGGGTTCAGATGCATTTGGGATTCGCGTTGTGTCGACTTGGAATACCACTGAGGAGGTCTTTACTTCACAACCTTCACCGTCGACGCTGCGCCTGACCTAGATAGCTGAGGCTGGGGGGCCCGAAGGCAAGGCTTCGACCAAATCGCACTTCAGAGATTTACAGCTACAGCAGGGTCTGCAAGCCCACTGGAAGAAGTTGAGAACCAGAGACGAGAGTTCGCGAGGATCTTGGACCAGAATTTAAGCTGAAAGGGCGACGCCCAAATTCAGAGAGGCGCAGGACCTCGGATTCTCAAGGAATCACCGCAGCGTCACCATACTCCACCCCAAGCAAACCTTTCTGAAACAAGGCGCCAAGCCCCGATGACTCCGGCACGCCAACGTCTCCCAGGTTATGCAGCCTTGTGGAGTAATACAACTTAGGGCATAATGTAGGGGCCATAATAATTAGAATAGGGTTTTGGGGCCCATTATACTAGAAGTATCTTAAGGAACCCCCAAAATGACATAGGTAGTTACTAAGGCCCCTACATTAGGGAGTTGCTGGATTCCGGCATCTTGCACAAGGCGCCTCCTCGAAAGAGTCCTCGCCACAGCACACGAGGAAGGGCCGTGATCTGGCCGGGAGCCTCGGTGTATCTGGGTGTCTGGGGATCTGAGGGCGTCGGTTTGAGAGTTTGAGATTTGAGGATCAGATCTTAAGAGGAGTACCCTCAACCCTAAACCCTAAAGTTCAGGGTTTGGAGCCTTCAAGGGTTAGGATTTACTATAGTAGGATGTGAAACATCGAAAAAGCTGCTCCGCCCTGCGCCCCGTGTCCGATCCTGCAAAACACAACACTCCCCTGAACGAACTTTGACCTGACATAGCACCACAACATGTTACGAGATGATACCACACAGCACAATATGATACAGTATCGTCCTATATGATATGCCAACTGAAAGTTTTGTTTATGAAGCATCTTCCGGCGAGGCACTCGAAGCCGCGGCTGGCCATCTCGGCCCAGGGGACGTTGTACGCCCCCAGGAGGTGGCCTGACCGGCTCACCCCTACGCAACCGAGCACTCGCACCAGTGGTAGGATGAGGATGAGGATGAGGAAGGGTACGACAGCCCGCTTCTTTACATCGCATACGATCCACAAGTCCGCGCAGAGCGGGATTGCCTGGCCATTCTTATGATGACTGCAGAAGGCACTGCTTTGATAAGTGCCAGTCAAAAACTCAAAGCTAACTGCTAACTAAACGTCCCATGTGCAAGCATGGTTGTGATGACAGGTGCTTACACACCCACACGCCCTAGCGACAGCACATGCTGTTCAACCACATTGCGTGGTGGCACATTAACCAAAACTTGTAGCACTCAAGCGCCAGCACGTGCAGCTCCGTGACACTGCTTGGAAGAGGGGCCTGAAGTGCTCACCATGTTGGACTAAAGACTCTTCTCAACCTCGTCTTTCAGCAATGCTTGGGCGGTGTCTAGTAGTTGTTCCACCGTCTTCCTTGAACGTGCTGAGAGCGTGTTCTCAAACTCCAAGCGTCGGATGCTCTCCGCCAGGAGGCTACGCACATCAGGCCCAAAGTCCGATCCCTCCTTTGCTGGTGCCGGTCCGCTGTCAGCCTCTCCCCGCAGATCGCTGAAGACCTCTGTGGACGAGGTAGCCTCCGAATGGCCAAACAAGGGCCATTTGCATGGGGCCTCCGATGGGAGCGTGGCCGACGAGCCATGGGAGATCGGAACTCCAAGCCAACTCTGAACTTGCCTGACACCTCTCAGTACCTCCACGGTTGGCACCTCCAAGTCGGCACTCCTCTCGAGCAATTTGACGGCCTCGAGAACTGAATCCCAGGCCTGGTCCCTATCCATGCCAGCCTTGGATATGAGATCCTCCGTGGTAACAATATCCTCACTCGCTTCAAGCTCCGCAAAGAAGGACTTCTTGCTTCTCAATGCAATTTGCCCTGTGCTCTTCGACTCTTTAACTTTGTCTGTTGCATCCGCCTTTTCCTCCAAGTAGGTCATGTACAAGTCTTTGGCTTTGGACAGGCTCACGCGGTTACCTCTCCTGGTATGATACCATCTCTTGAAGAAATCGATGATGTCAATCCAAACAGGGTCGCTAAAATGTGCATTCTTCTTTGTCTCGCTGTACACGTCCATGATGATGGCAATCAGCATGTTCAGAAGAATCAGGAGCATGCAAAGCATGAAGGATATGTGAAACACCCCAGCAATTGCTCTGCCCACCTTGTTCTCCAAGGCCTCGAAATCTGCATCTCCCATCAACGAACGAAATTGCGTGGTGAAGGCAACTCCAAAACTTGCATAGCCTTCCACCGTGCGCCCAAAGAAGCCCATTCCCATGAAGACGTAGGTAAGGAACACGGAGAGGAAGATGATGCCGAAGTGCACCAAGTCCGCAAACGACATCCACAGGGTTCTTGTGACCACAGCAAGACGCGGCTGCAGCGAGAAGGTCTTGAAGAGCCGCAACAGAATGCAGAAGGGATAGAAACTGGCGACAAGACTGGTACCGGAGGAGATTTCGCCCATGCGGGTGGCATCCGCCATCAGCATGTCCATCATGGCGTCGCAGTTGCCCTGGTCGTTTGTGTCACAAACTTCGACTGCATCGCCCAACAGGCTTTTCAGGTCCGCGAGCATGGTACATCGGTAAATCCATAAGCCTAGAATAATGTAAGCGATGACGATCGAGCACCAGTCTACAGCGTTCCAGATCGTGAGGTATTCCATGAAGCATTGGCGAGGACGGAAGCGACATTTTCCGTCAGTGCCTCTGATACAGAGACCCTGGAAGATCTCCACGAGCTCTTCGAGGAAGATGGAGGTGATGACCCCGAAGAACAGGATCTCCCAGACGAGACCCGCACCGGGGTGGTCGTAAGGAGACATGAAGAAGCTCATAAAGGCCATCTCTTTCCAAATCCGCCCAGATCGGGATAAGATGAAGTGGATGTTGGTCACTGTGAGGATGTCGAACTCCGCATTGTACGTGACGAAGGACAGCTTCCAGCGTCGTGTACTCCTTGTGATCCAGCCTGTCATCTCTAGGTCATCGACTGTTGGGTTCACGTCCTGCGCAAGCGGAAGCCACACGGTACCGTTCTCGGAGGGATCCTCTGTGAAGGGCGTGAAGGCAACATCAAACTCTCTTGGCTGGATCACGAAGTCCGTACCTTTCTCGAAACATGGGCGTCCAAGTCGGCTTGCTTCCTTGTCCTGACAATCCTCAACCTGCGCCGCTTCTTTTGTCAGTTTTACCGGGCCCAGCTTGCGATTAAAATCCAAGTAAGGCAGATGTAGCTTCTGCGAGCTGGTCATCGCTGCGCTCGTCAGATCGGAACCTTCAGAAACCGGTGTGGACTGGGGCAAGTAGATAGCAGCGAAGCCCAAGCGAAGCCACGAGTAGAAGTCCGTGATGCTGTTCACATCTTGATAGTTCTTGTGCCCCATGGTCCCAATGCCGTTGAAGGCAAAGTTTGCATTTTCTTGGATATCGAAGCGAATGGCCTTCTCAACGCTTTGCGTCTCTCCCACGGTCTCGTGGTTCAAGAGCATGGCAGCAAAGCAGAAAATGAGAGTCAGTGTTCGCGGGAGGGTTTTCACAGCACGGTCACAATTCACCTCCTTCTCCCAGTAGCGGAAGAGCTCCTTTACCGGAACGCCGCATTTCTCTGCAACTGCTTCCGGCCGAAGCGCTGCAATCTCTTCGCCAGGTTTCACGCACACCCAGTAGTACACAGAGTGTCTGTGCTGACCACTTGTCATGACAGGCGATGAGTCTATAGCCGGAGCCACAAAGCTGCCGCAGCAAAGGAAAGGCTTTGTCGCAGTGAGGTACGCCACTTCGCTGCGGTGCAGTGCGGAACAAGAGCAGCAGCAGCAGCAGCAGCAGCAGCAGCAGCAGCAGCAGCAGCAGCAGCGGTGTGGCAGCGCAGCAGTGTAGCAGCGTGGCGGCTCTGACAGTAGCAAGCAGCAGCAGCAGCAGCAGCAGCAGCAGCAGTGGTGATGGCAGCAGCAATAGCAGTATGATAGCTGTGGCGGGGTCTGCAGCACGCCTCGGGTAGCTTCTCTGCCATGCATAGCTGCTTGGCTAGACAAAGCCTACTTCGCAGCCTTTAACCTGAAACCTCAGCCTGTCCCAAAGCCCTCAGAAACGTGTCTCAGGCCTTGGAGAAACTCTGACTCCTCACGGACATCGAGGATCCTCGGACACAGCGGAGCTTCCCTGTACAAAGCCACCCCGGTAACATCGGTGCACGTCCTTCTGTGCCGCCCCTGGGCCCCTGGGCCCTTTGGTATTTCAGTGCAACACCAAGCGTCAGATCTCCTGGTGCGGCGGCAGCCATGGCTCAAGGAATCGGGGCTTAGGGTCCCGCGGGACCGCTTTGTTACTGAAATGAGCTGGGAAGCATAGGAACCTCGTAATGCCATGATCCTCCACTCCTGGAACACTGCGAAACAGATCACCTTGCGGCTTTAGCCGGGGAGCCGGGGCCTGCGCCGGCGTTGACACATGGAAATCTGGAGACACGTGAGCTGCGTGATACTGCAACAAGGCTTCTGGTAGTCGAGCTCAGAGCTCTTCCCATCCTCAGTCCGTTCCTCCAAGATGACTCCCATCGACTGAATCCGCACCTCAAATCCACGAGAGATAGCCTCACTTGAACCCCGAGACCCCTAAAGCGCAAACCCCAGGAACAAGGGTGTTGCTTGAAAAACACCCAGCCTAGGCGTTTGTCGTGCTGTCTCATCAGCTCCTGGGTCAAAGGGCGGACATAAACCAAGAACCTCCAACGACCACTGGCCCTTCAATTGAACCCTCATCTACGAGTAGCACTGGAGAATCCGCCCAGTCGAGCTTTGCGGTGTTCTGACTTCTGACTGTGTGTGCCGGTGTTGCGGATGTGGCCAGTGCTTTTGTCACTTGGCATACCGCCGGTGTACTACATGGTAGCACAAACTGTTTTACTATGTTGTGTAAAACCAGACGATACTCCAGAACCTGGCAATGTAAACCTTTGGTTCGACGCCTTCTTCAATAGACATCTGCTGTCACAAGGGGTCCTTCACATAGTCAAGAATATTCTGTCTGCGAACTTACCTTACCTATTCTATTCTGTTCTATTCTACTGTGACGCCATATATAATGTTATCTGAAAATAAATATCTACATACGTATATCTATACATGTCACCCCCACCCCCCCTCCCCCCCTGTCATGACCGACTGGGTCCTTGAGAGCAGGTCGCCGGTTGGCGTGGCCGGGAGGCTGATGCCCAGTGTTCCTCGGCTGACGTGACCTCATGGGCCTTGTAGGGATCTGGGCCAGTAACCGCTGGTAGCAAAAAGGCTCGGCCTTGTAGGGATCTGGGCCAGTAACTGCTGGTAGCAAAAAGGCTCGGCCTTGTAGGGATCTGGGCCAGTAACTGCTGGTAGCAAAAAGGCTGGGGCAAGAACGGTTTTAGACTTCTGATTGTCGAAAGGCCAGCCATGTGGTCATAATTGGCTCAGGGTCTCCACACCAACGCAGCTGAAGCTGCAAGCTTGCTAAATCTCAGAGCAGAAGCTTTTCAGAGAGCTAGCACATGTGACAAACGGAACTTGTCCAAAGTCTCGTTGAACGAGCATTCCATGGAGGCTGAGGGCTGAGGGCGATGAAGGTCCAGCACCCTGGAGACCCTCTCAGGCAGTCACTCCCTAGCGAAGGGATCCACAAGTGGCGCGAACTCGTCAGGGAGAGGCCTCGGATCCCAACTCCGAGGAGGGTCTTCGCAATTCTTCGCACGCTGCTTTGGTGTGGAGATCAATCTGAGTATGAGGACGAAGAAGATGCTGTTGATAAAGGTGGCAGGAAACAATCAAAATAGATTAGCAAGTACTGGAATGCTGATCGCCATGATGGTGAGATGATGGCGACGACGATCATGATGATGCTGATGATGATTATGACGATGGAAAAAGGCGATGGAAACGATGGTGGAAATGATGATGGAAAAATGGCTGTGATTCTTTGATGGTGATGGTAATGGTGATGACGATGACGATGGGGCTGGCGCTGGTGCGGGTGCTGATGCTGGTGCTGGCGATGGAAATGGTAATAGTGCTTTGATGGAGATGAAGACCGTCATGGCGATGGTCATGACGATGATGCGGGAGGGGGAGAAGGAGGACGAGGACCAGGAGGAGGAGGAGGAGCCGGAAGAGGAGCACAAAAAGCTGAAGGAGGAGCTGAAGGAGGAGGAGTAGGAGGGTGATATTGGTGGACGTGAGATTAGTAAATCAGGAGGATGACGGCGGTGTTCATGACGGCGACGAGAGTCCCTAGAACGGTGCCCATGTCCACGAAGACGGTGTTACTCCTGGTAATGAGCATGCTAGGATTGATGACGAGGAAACCACGAGGATACACGAGGATGCAATAAGGGCGATGATGGTTTCGATGATGGTGTTGATGGTGCGCATGCTGAATATAACGAGGGTGATGATGGTGATAGTGGCGAAGATGATCAGAAGAAGAAGAAGATGTCGAGGAGGAGGAGGAGGAGGTTCGCGATGATGAAGAAGATGATGGCGTTCGCCATAAACATGTAGATGCGGCTGCAGGTTCGTTTGACCGTGAAGACGGCAGTGATTGCTTCTAGCCATCACCATTATCACCAATACCACAACATACCTGGAGCTACCGCCATGTTCACGGTCGGAAAGATCAGATTTATCCACAACAGCTTCTCCATAATCATCATCATCGTCATCATCATCATCATCAGTATCATCATCATCGTGGATCTGGCGGTTGCCCCGTCAGCATCTGCATCGTCATCATGATACGATCCATCTTGCGCTTCTTCTCAAACTCTTCGTTCTATGGGCTTCTTCCTTTCCGCTCTTGCGTGTCCTGCCGGCGGCACAAATCCTCTGAGGCCGGTGCCCCCCTCCCAATCCACCATAGAGTGGGGAGAGTCGCCGGGCAAAGGCCTCCAAGGGGTGCACGTAAGCAACATGGGAATCATTCTGAATCTTTCCGTGCAAACGACTACCGGCAAACATGATAACTAAATCACCAAAAGAAAGCCATCACTACAACCGGACCCGAAAGCAACCGTATGAATGGCACGGCGTGCATGAAAGCAGAGCCGACGGAAGCTACGGGGAGGGAATGCGAGGAAATGTTGGTAAGCGGTTGTGACTGATGCAATTGTGCTTGGATGCTGTGTTGCGATTTGGTTCATAAACCTCAGCTTACGCTGAATCGCGCATGGCAAAGCTTGTTCCTCAATGCAGGAAACAATAACAACTCTGACACGGTTGTTTACCCTCCTGCAAACTCGTCGATGTTTGCGCTTAAAGCAGGCTGCGGTGAACGCAGTCTTGGGCAATGCTGCTGTCTTCAGTTGTGCAGCCTGCTGCGGCTATGTTGCCGAATTACTGCGGTTCTACTCTACTGTCTGCGGTGCTGACCCCTCGAGAGCGGGGAGAGGGGAGGGCTGCAGCCTTCCCGAGAAAAGTGCTTCCCCTGTATCAGGAGCTAGGGGCGGCCGTGAAGTCTCGTTTGACCCAAACCAAGTCTGTAAACTCGGCACCAGAGAGGAACCTGGCTTTCGTAAATGAGTCATTCCTACAAAAGAAGGAAAGCGGTGCCCCGGGCCACCCATGTATTTGCTTGTGGTTATGCATCTGTAAAACAGCTTCATGACTGAAACATGCGGTTTGCACTGTAATGTTCTTCCTCTTCTGCGGTCTTGATCTTGTCCAGAAACTGACGGTTGGGTTTGCTGGGGCTAGCCATGGGCCGTGTCGCATCCCTCGGCGGCAGATAAGGCCAAGAATCGCATACACTGCTCTGTCGCTAGTCAGCACGGCTGAAGCGCACCGACACTCATGAGGGGGGGATGGTTCATGACCTCGCCGGAATAAAAACGCCCCGCCAACCACGTCTAGTCAGGTGGCCATCGAATTAAATACAATGCACACGATGGTCATGCACAGCAACATCAGGAACTTTTCAACATCAATCCAACGGAGACTCCATGAACCGAAAGCTGTTCTTGCACAGCATCAAAAGCCCACGACAGAAAGTACCCCGACTGTGGGTAAGAGAGGGAACAGCTCGCATTGGTCGACAGCTCCACTGAAGTAACAACAGCAAGGCGCCGCAAAACATCAAACAGAAGAAGTGCGTTGTTACGGAACCACAAGAGAAATCTCGGAACATACCAGCAATGCATTTGTACAGACACAGAAACATGAAAGACGAAATCATAAATGTGGCTACACATGCAGGCCTTCGGCTTACCAACAAAAACATATGAGTATGTGTGTGTGTGCTTGTGTAAAAAAGTGTGTGTCTGTGTCTGTGAGTGTGTGCGTGAACGCATCCCAACTCTACCTCTCTTCTGAGTCTAGGTTACAACAATCCTCAGGTTGCCCGCTCCGAAAACACACAATTTCATTGACGTCAAACCGGCCTGCGTATCGCGACTTCCCGAAAAGGTTGCGTTCCAGCCTGTGCTTCAGAGCAGACAGCGGCTACTTGCAAACTTACAGCTTGGTGTTTGGCCTAAGGTCACTTGTAGTAGAGATGTTTCTTCAGGAGCCAGACCTACTCTACGGCTACAACTGGACTCGGGTTGTTTCTTTTGCTGTGCCTGCAGACATTCCTGTGCTGCTCTCTGAACCACTATGGCTTGTGAGTGCTGTCCTTGCTCCGCGTGAGGCGTTTACTCTCCTGGTACTCAGTCTGGCGCATCCCCTTCCTCCTACTAGTCTCGTGACCATCATGGTGATGGCGATAAAGCGAACTACTTCAAGCTGTCACTGGTAACGGCGGCAGTAGAAGCCGGAAAAGTAACAGTTGCAGCCCGCAGGAGGTCGTCGCATTCGTCGCAGAAAGAGTAGCAGCGGCGGCGGGAGCAGCAGCAGCAGCAGCAGCAGCGGCAGTAGCAGTGGAAGTTGCAGCAGCAGCAGTAGGAGCAGGAGCAGGAGCAGGAGCAGGAGCAGGAGCAGGAGCAGGAGCAGGAGCAGGAGCAGGAGCAGGAGCAGGAGCAGGAGCAGGAGCAAGAGTAGGAGCAGGAGTAACAGAAGGACTA